CACTATTTGTCAATATAAGATATAAGGGGCGTAGCATTTATTGCGCACGTCCTTAAAATAATAGTCATGTTGTCGTGTTTTGAGTTAACTTAGTGCGTATTGCAAACCGTATGCAAAACTCTAGGGTTTTTTTCGTAGATTATTTGAGTTCTTACGTCGTGGCTGGCGTACTTACCAAAGTTATACACCGCTACGTCCATGGACGTATGTAAAATGCTACGTAAGGCGATTCAGAATATCGTTACGTTTATGTTACGTTAATTGCACTTAGTAGATCTTAAGTCTTTTGTTTAAAGGAACAGGAAAAAAACAAGAAATAGAATGCGTTATATAGCATTACCTAGGGGCAGCCTTCCTATGCAAAAGGTCTTACATTCATATATTTTAGCCCTGGGTGTAGCACCTTGTCTACAATACCCAGTTATTACGGTTTAGTCGAAATCAGGTTGGTACCACCCAACGCCCTTGTTCATGGTATTTCTGCTGCATTTGTTTTCTTATGACTCATTGCAAAATACGTCTATTCAATCACATTTCACATCGAGCTTCTTTCCTTTAAACTGCGCGGAATCGCATTTATCATCAAGTAAAAACTTTAGAGAATTTGTGCGCTTAAAGTAAGACATCTTGAGCTGTGCGCCATTATGAAAGCACGATTCATAAACGATTGTAATTACCTACCGGAATAGAATGCAGCGGAAATAGCAATGTTCGATTCTTTAATGAACAAAACGCTCTTCTAAGAGCCTTAACTCGTGAACTAGTGTTGAAGCTCATACTGTTATTGTGCATGCTTAATATAGTATCAGATTGTTCTCATTTTGAAACTATAATCAAATTCACTAACATAATTGCTTCAAATTGTAATAGATATTCATCTGAATTCAGTTTTAATTCAATTAGATCAATAGTTTTATAGTGAAACAGTTCTTAGTGATTCCAATATATTTTTATAATTATAATCAACGAGCCATAGATAAATAGTTTATGATCGAATGATAGTGGCAACAGATACCTAGCCTTAATGCCTCCTTGTTATGTTTGGCACAAATTAATAGGTCTGAAAAAACATGTAATCGCATTTAATCTATTAAATTTTGTTTAAACCTCTGAGTTGCTTGTACTTGTTAATTTTATATTTAGAAATATAAGCTGACCTGGTCASTGAGAAGCATAAGCAATAGAATTATATCCCGGTTATAAACTCCTTTCTAATGGCGACACATCTTGGAATTAATGCCAAGCAAWCATTTTCAGTCACTGAGCCGCAGAGTTAAAATTTCTCTGTATGATCCCTGCTGCCCATCCAAAGCAAATTGGATGSAAGAGCTTGGGAAAGAGCATTAAGACCACCGTATGCTTGCGAAAGATCATCTTGTTTCCGACTACGAACCAATCAAACCTCCACGAGAGGTATGCAAAGTGTTCAGGCGCATAGCAAATAAGATAGATTATCACCATCCAGAAGATGATTCTTCGTAGCTTATTCTCCAGCTCGTTTATGATGGGGAGTGGTTCGTTGGYCGTCCCGTCCTCTTTTTGCTCCTCTTGTTGCTCCTGCTGCTCTTCAGCATGTCTCTCCTCAGTAGGATCTTGTTGGATGTTTTGATCTTCGTGGTTTTCGATGGCAGGTACACGCCCTGTTGATTCCTGGCTTACGATATTACCTTGTGATTTGCCGATAAGATTTTTGATCTTCACGAGTAGTACCCCATATGATAAGATCATCACTGCGAAAGGGAMCAACAGCCGGGATACAAACGACGCAGTGCCGACATATATTTGGATGGACTTGTCATAGCCCTGAAAACGACACGATATATGCTCTCCGCCTTTACACAGAGGGTAGACTGCAATTTTTGCCACAACTGAGAATGGAAGGGAAAGTGCAAGACCCCATAGCCATGATATGAATACTGAGACAAGCACAGCTCTTCTTAACTTGGCTGTATTGGGCTTTCTTAATATGAAACAGCTGTAAATTGAGAAAGTTGCAAGGCTCGAAGATACCACGATTGAACAACAAATATTGGCTGAAAATATCAGACGGCACATGACCATACCAAGCATCCAGCGCCAAGGGCTCGTGAAGTAGTAAAGCCGAAAGGGGGCTACTAATGAACCAATAAGCTCAGCCAAAGCAATGTTAGTGATTAGGATGTAACTGATAGGCTTGCAGCGAGTTAGGTAGATTCCACGTAAAACTAATGTATTCGCAGCCACGGAAGGGATGAGGATGACAGCTGCAGCTACGTTGAGGTAAACGTCGACTGATCTTGGAACGTCGTGCAGCGGCTTCGAACTATAGCAATTGTCACTGGTGTTGTTCACTAAAACAGAAAAAGGCCAAATTCTTGTTTTTGTTTTCACTCTTCAGTATGAAATTGACCGATAACAAAACGAAAAACGGGACTGGGTCCAAACTTCAAAATCTAATTAAATAATGGTGGTTCAGGAAGAATATCCCCATCATGTGAGAGAGAACCATAGATATAAAATGCTTACTGACTGAGTTTCATGAGGTTTGAACTTATAGCAATAACACTTCTTTGTAATTTTAGAAATCAATGTAAAAATATATATATATATTCCAATTTTTAATGACTTAAACTTTC